GGTTCTGCTTCTCCCTGAGGTTTTTGTAAGCTGCACAGTGCACACAGCTATCTATACTAGAGGCCCTGCAGGGGCCTCCTGGGCCTACGGGGTACCTGCAGTGTAAACCAAGTATCGGACAAGATACGTTAAGGGCCCATGCACACCTCTGCGTTTTAGTACGCGCGTCAACCCATAGTTGTAACTGATGAATAATTCCACCTGTAAAAAATACTTCATGTCCGGTTTATATTTTGTGTCGGGTGCGTCTTGAAGGCCATAGACGTCTATGGCAACGCATTACGTGTGGGTCGGTTCATGGGTTTGACCCATGGGTCCGGGCATAGTGTTTAGTACTGGCCCATGGGTTAAGTGGTAGTATTCAGTATTGGCCATTGGGTCGGGTCTTAGCATTCTGTACTGGCCTTTGGGTTGGGTCATAGTATTCCGTACTGGCCCATGGGTCGGGTCTTAGCATTCTGTACTGGCCTTTGGGTTGGGTCATAGTATTCTGTACTGGCCATTGGGTCAGGTCTTAGCATTCTGTACTGGCCCATGGGTTGGGTGGTAGTATTCTGTATTGACCATGGGTTGCGTCTTAGTATTCTGTATTGACCATGGGTTGCGTCATAGTATTTTGTATTGGCCCATGGGTTGGGTGGTAGTATTCCATATTGGCCCATGGGTTGGGTCTTAGTATTCTTTATTGGCCCATTGGTTGGGTGGTAGAATTCTGTATTGGTCCATGGGTCAAGTCTTAGCATTCTGTACTGATTCATAGGTTGGGTGGCAGTATTCTGTATTGGTCCATGGGTGATATCTTAGCATTCTGTAGTGGCCCGTGGGTTGGCTCATAGTATTCTGTACTGGCACATGGGTTGGGTCATAGCATTCTGTATTGGTCCTTGGGTTGGGTGGTAGTATTTGTATTGGCCCATGGGTCAGGTCTTCACATTCTGTATTGGTCCATGGGTCATGTCTTCACATTCTGTATTGGCCCATGGGTCAGGTCTCCACATTCTATATTGGCCCATGGGTTGGGTCTTCGCATTCTGTATTGGCCCATGGGTCGGGTTGTAGTGTTTAATTTTGGCCCATGGGTCGGGTCTTCGCATTCTGTATTGGCCCATGGCTCGGGTTGTAGTGTTTAAATTTGGCACATGGGTTGGGTCGTAGTATTCTGTGTTGGTCCTGTAGGTCAGATCGTAGTATAGCGTATTGGCCCCTGGGATGGGTTGTAGCGTACGGGACTGGCCCGTGGGATGGGTCGTAATACTTTGTATTGGCCCATGGAGTCTCTTGGAATGTGGAAGCTATTCTGTAACATGGCAGCTCTCTCTTCTAAAATGGAAGTTGGTAGTAATGTGACAGCTCTCTCTTGAAACTAAGCAGTCTCTTCTAATGAGGCAGCCCTTTCTTATAACGTGGCAGTCTCTTGTCACTAGGCAGTCTCTGCGAATGTGGCAGCCCTCTCTTGTAACATAGCAGTCTCTTGTGACATAGCAGCTCTCTCTTAAAGTCTCTAGTACTGAGACAATAAAAGTGTGTTTTTAGGGGTACTCAGCTTGCTCATAGGCTCAGGTACCAGCAGGTTATAAGTGGGTCGCGGGGATCGCTCACTCGCCATTCTGCCGCAACCGCCCCGCGTACATCTCTAACGAACAGCTTGTTGACCGCCGCCCGCGACCTATTTCCTCCGCCGGCCCATCACTCTCCTCGTCATTCTGCTCCCTGCAGCCGTGAACTACTCGGCACATTACATTCATTCGCGCAGCCCAGATACGAAGGATCACCGTGTAAAAATAGCAACGCCCCTCCCGCTTCCTTCCTGTAGGTGGCGCCAACACGACGGCCGGCCGGCTTGGCCGCGCTCCTGAGCCCTGACCCATCAAATGAGCTTGTGGATGAGTTTGCATCTCCTTTGCATCATCCTAATGGTGCTCGCCGATAAGTGCCTGCTGACTAATGTTCTGAATCATCACCGGCAGACCATTTCATGACATTTATTCATAACAAGCGCAGCCAGGGTTTTTTTTGGTGTACCTGATCAGAGAAGCGCAATGCAAATTCATATAAAGGGAAATTATAGCCGATAGAAATAGAAGTCAGAGAGCAGGGGTGAGTGAGGCAACATTCTCTCTGCAGTCTCTTTATCCATGTGAGCTCTAACAGCATCATATTGCAGGTTCAGGAGGCAGAGTTGAGGCACCCTGCACACAGTGTTTAGCTCAATGTCAGGAGGCAGAGTTGAGGTACCCTGCAGAAACATAGAGGACATGTTGATGGTTGTTGATAAGGACGAGAACGGGGTTGACCGATGAAAATTCTAACTCCATGCCCATGTAGAGCAGGTCTTAGGTGCCATGGCTGCACACAGAGTTCAGCTCCACGCCCATGTAGAGCAGGTCTTAGGTGTCATGGCTGCACACAGAGTTCAGATCCACGCCCATGTAGAGCAGGTCTTAGGTGCCATGGCTGCACACAGAGTTCAGCTCCACGCCCATGTAGAGCAGGTCTTAGGTGTCATGGCTGCACACAAAGTTCAGATCCACGCCCATGTAGAGCAAGTCTTAGGTGCAATGGCTGCACACAGAGTTCAGCTCCACGCCCATGTAGAGCAGGTCTTAGGTGTCATGGCTGTACACAGAGTTTAGCTCCACGCCCATGTAGAGCAGGTCTTAGGTGCAATGGCTGTACACAGAGTTCAGCAACATGCCCATGTAGAGCAGGTCTTAGGTGTCATGGCTGCACACAGAGTTCAACTCCATGCCCATGTATCGCAGGTCTTTGGTGTCATGGCTGTGCACAGAGTTTAGATCCATGCACATGTAGAGCAGGTTTAGGTGTCACGGTTGTACACAGAGTTCATCTCCATGCCCATGTAGAGCAGGTTTTAGGTGTCATGGCTGCACACAGAGTTCATCTCCATGCCCATGTAGAGCAGGTCTTAGGTGCCATGGCTGGCCTGTACAGAGAGTCCAGCTCCATGCCCATATAGAGCAGGTCTTAGGTGCCACGGCTGCACACAGAGCTCAGCACCATGTCACGAGACATTGCCGAGTAATAAGCAGTGGAAATCAAATACGTTTTTTTAATGGAATGACCTCTCTATATCAGGAGGCTGCATGGAGTCAGCATGGACGATGGATGAGTCAGCGATGTTGCCTGCCTGGGAAGCAATACGCAGACGGAAAAGGGCGTCAACGACAATCTCCATCTTCCTTTCACCGCACTGCCGGGAAAGAAATACGGGTCTGCCGTCACTGACCTGCCTCTGAAAATGCTAGCCGCCTGGTTGCCATGCCGATCCCACGGCTTCAATATTCGAATACAGATAAAAAAAGGTCAGCGTGTGAACGTGAGTCACTCAAAGCGCCGAATCCAGAGGATCAGCACGACGGGGCCATTTACAGAAGGAAAGGGCAGCAATTTCAATCTCCAAAGGAGGGGGGGGGGTTCCTTAGTGGTGACCTACATCTGAAAATCGCCGGTCGCCTGGCCGCCATGCCGATCCTTCGACACCGATCGGAAAACCCAAAACGTACGCTGCTCGTTCAAAGCCAGTCGCTGAAAGCGACCGGTCCGGGCGGATCGGCGCGACGGCCAAGCGACCGACGCTTTTTAAGGCGCAAAAGGCGTTGGGTTTTCCGGAAAAGCTCCTACGCCGAGCAAGCGCTGGGGATGCTGCTGTCTACAGTCGCC